ATATATATATATATATATATATATTATATATAGATCCACCGTCACGTTTTACATTCATTACAGCTTTATTTATACATATGAAAGCCAAAGGACATTTCTGTGCAATTTCTGTGTTTGTTGTTAGACAAAGGGAAACAGGACATTTTAGGCGTAACTCTAAACAGATGGGTAACAATTAATAAAATAGCTCTTATACCTAAATTATCATTATGTAGCTATGGATGAACAAATAAATAAATAGATAAACAAATAAGTAAAATATACGACTAAAGTAATACAAGGATATACTAATATCCTGTACATAAAATCTCAGTTAGTCTTGGCGCCAGTCTTTTCATTCATGTCCTCTGTAGTGAACTCGCAAATCCTAAAAAGTTAAACTGAAAGATCCTTTCCCCCTCTGTTCTCAGGAGGATTTCATATTAACATTTTCGCAAAATATTTGTTTGCTTCTAAAATTCTAAAATAATACTTCTCTGTACCTGCAGGTTAATGCGGCTCTAACTAAAGAAGAATTTGAATTAATGAGCATGCAAAATCCTCTATTTTTGAAATGCGTTTTATTCATTACACAGCATGATACGCTAATTATTTTAAGTTGTGAGACTTTTCTTGTAATTCGTCTCAAATTCAGCACTACAGCGCTCCAGTGCTGCGTTCAGGCTCCAATGGGACAAACGTAAATTTTCTGGATCTGCAGAAACCTGTCTGTTTGTAATCACCACCTGGAACAAAAACTAATTTTTACTACTATTTGGCAGTGCAAGTGGGATTTTCTTTTTCATATTTTAACTTTCACTAATTATTAGAATATTTATATCTAGCCTTACCCTTGTTTTCCCAAGAACTTTTCCACATATCCGAATCCAATTGAAAATAATTTTAAGTTATTCATGGCCTATTTTAGATTACTCTGACTCACCACAGCATCTCGTGGTGCAAACTAGTATTACTCTAATGTAATATGTGGAATATGTGGACGATTTCAAACTGTTTTAAACACAGAAATTCACACAAAATGCTTTTAAAGTAAATTTAAACTACCTGTAATCAGTCAGTGGCATGTGTGCATCTTTTTCCAAGCGTAAAACAAAGACTTCCAAGCGTGCCTTAAACTGCCAGTTTACAATGACAGTCCTTGGCAAAACAATGACAAGACTTTATTTGAACTTAACAATTTATTTAAATCTTTGTATAAGCAATTATTTCTTGTTCTAAACCTGTATTTTTACCACGTAAAAGATTATTTACTATGTAAGCATTAATGATAGAATCTGTTAGCTAAACAAAATAGTTAATGTTTAATTTACTGTAATAATAGCACAAATCAATTCATTATTTTGTCATAGTGGCAAACCAGCGAATTAAATTAATCAAAAAATTGACCATTAGAACTAAGACAAAAGAACAAGGTAACCAAAAAATTATTTTAAAAGTTATTTTAAAATTAATTATATTAAGAACAGGAATGATGTGCGGAGCTGTTGTAACTACAGAGGAAAAAGTTTATGAAACTATGAAGACAGCAAGACAGTATAGAGGTGTGCGATAAGTAGTAGGGGAGGTAGATGAGTTTAAGCACCTGGGGTCAACCATGTAAAGAAATGGACAGTGCACAAGAGAGGTTAAGAAGAAAGTGCAGGTAGGGTAGGACAGGTGGAAACAAGTGTCAGGGGCTATTTGTGACAGAATGATAGTAGCAAGAGAGAAAGGGAACGTTTACAAGATGGCAGTGAAACCTACTATGATGTATGGCTTGGAGATGGGGATCCTGACAAAAAGAGAGAGAGCAGATTGAAGGTACTAACATTTTCATTGGGGGCAACCACAATGGACAAGATTAGAAAGAGGGACAGTTCAGGATGAGCAGTTTGGAGATAAAGTTAAGGAAAGGGTCAGATGGTTTGGGCATGTGCAGTGGAGGTATAATGAATACACCGGACAGAAAACCTCAGAGGAGATTAACTGGTGCAATGAAGAAGGAGATTGAGAGAGTTGGCATGAGAGGAGGATGCTAAGAATAGGGTGCGATGGAGATGATCCACTGTGGCAACCCTTAAAGGAAGTAAGTCTTTAAATACATTATTAGTGTTTTTGTTGTTGTTGTTAAATTTAAACCAGGAGATAGTATTTCTTTTATACTATCCTCGAAATAATTTTGGAAAAAAGTTTCGGTTTTTTTTCTATTACCTTGAACACAATCTTAGTTTACGCCCGCTGACGTCACGACGCTCCCAGTGTTTGGTTTCCGCGCCGCGCTGAGCTGACCGAGCAGACATGGCAGCAAGCTGCAGCGACAGCAAACCGGATGAGCCGCAGACAGATGGAGGGACGGAAGGGGATAGATCCATGTCGAGGTCAGACAGGTAAAAAAGGAAGGAATAAAATATGGCTGTTGTGGCACGCGGGGGTGTTGTCGAGCCCCGCGGTGGAAACTGCTCTTAGCAGCTAGCTAGTCCAGCTAGCTGCCACACTCTGTGTAACCCACGCATTGTGTTTTGTCGTGGGTGCAGAGAACAAAAGCTTAATAAAGAACATGGGAGAATTAGCGAAAAAACACCTAAGTGAGGACAGAGAGACCTGGGCCCGGTCGTAAAATATTCTATGGAGGTTTTATCTGTGGTTACATCAACACTTTCTGCCCTCGTCTCTTTCCATAAGCATCTGTACAGATCCTCTCATTCTGTATGCAAGACTAATGCGACAAATGACGATTTTATGAACGTTTTCAACTTACAAAGCGTTTATTCATCATTTAAAAGTATCCGGCAGCTTTTCAGTGCGGCCTATTAAATTCGGCCGTATTAACCATCACATCTCAAAAAATATTCACTTTCAAATTGTGTATTTCAAATGTTTATTTTTTAGGAATGGCTACTGTTAACCAGGGTCGGTTTTTGTTAATTACCACCAGTTTCTAGATGTTCACTGACCATATGGTATCACAACGGAAGCTAGTGTTGCTTTGTTGCTAACGCCCCCTTATTCATAACACGTAGCACTGAGGATGTGCTGGGGATCAGGTGTCTGTCTGGCAGCTTGGTGACCTGGCTGTGTAGCTGTAGTGCAGCTGGGTGTTAAATCTATGCACAAATGCATGAGTTTTTGAATCATTGAAATGTCACTGCACCAATGAGAAACCTTGGATCCTTGCATACTTTGATGCATATCAACCACTCAAAAAATTGATGGTTACTGTGAAGGTGTTCTTTTAACTTGGCTGCACTGATTGTAAATAAAATACAAAGCTGCATTTAGTTTGTATTTAAATTAGGTCAGCGAGTTATCTACGTTAGGTGTCTATCTTTACAGGGACTAAAATGTGCATGAAGCACAGAAGCGGGAAAAAACCCCAAAAGGAAATCCATAAAATCATAAATCAGCCTAAAAAGTGTTACATTTGCATAATATTTTGCTTCTGCAAAAAGCAACCTATTGCCTATTTCTGCACGCTTACAAGTTAATATTTAATGGCCTACCTTCTCTGCCATTGAGCTACAGCATTAGACTATAAATAAAAAACAGACGTAGCCAGTAGGTGGTCATCCACTGGTTAGTGAAGTGAAACCTTGTGGTGAAGCTTTCACACTTGCTTTCTTAGTGTTCTAAATACGATCTGAGAAACTGACTGCATGTTCAAACTGTAGTGACTTGTAAACCATAAAGTCCAGCCAAATGATGACAGCCTTACTCATGTGAATGGTGGCTCCCCACCCAGTGTCATGCTGTGTCCAGGGCAGCGGTGTGATTTCCTGGGGAGGGCCGGCAAGTTCCCCCTTCCTCCCCCTCAACCACACCGAAAGCAGATGCTTCCCTGTGAAGAGGAGAGTTCATAGAGGGTCTCCGGAGTGAGCAGAGACCCTCTTCTCTCTCTACAGGACAACAGTGTATCTGCAGGTTCCCAAGAGTTAATATTTTGAATATATTTAGCTAAATGTTTTCCCTTTTTATACCCATTTATAGCTTCACATCTTTGAGCTTCTTTTGGTTAGAAAAAGGCTACTTTTGACACAATGGTGGTCATAAACCTGCAGATATGTTGTAAAAATGAAAATGCCTGTATTGGAGCAGCAGCGGGGGTCCACTATGAGCGAACAAGGCATCTCTGATGGCATACTGCAAACACAAACTGTTCAAAAAGCAGACAAACATGAGGACTTAGCCTTAGTATGAGTCTAACAATTACTTTAAATGATCTCACGGCACTTTGGAAACATCCCACAAGTGTTTCTTTGCTTGCCTAAAAATACGCAAACAATCTCTTTTTTGGTGAAAGTCAAGCCGCACACCTGAAATGTAGAGGAGTGTTCAAAATACAATGCCCTGTGGTGCCCAAACATGTCTCTTCTGTTGGTGTTATTTGAAGCTGCATAACTGCATTGCTGCTGTGATATGATGTGACAGACCCACCCCTGTCCAGTTTTTTCCATGGTGTAAATCTCACCCATATCAGATCATATTTAGATTCATTAGTGACTCTAAATTGGATGTAGGTGTGAATATGAATGGTTGTCATGTCTCTTTATAAGTCCTGCCCCATCACAGCCTGGGGACCGGTCCAGTGTAGCCTTCAAGGGACACATTGCGTGATATATACTTATTTACATGTGAATCCTAGTTTCCCATTAATGTCACCTGTTAATTAAAAACCTGTTAAAAGGGTTAAATGTTGCTCGCTTACCTTCCTTTCTTTTACCCCAGTGGAAGTGGTGACGATTCCTTGGATGGCCTCTCAAACCATGTCCCCCGCTGTCCTTTGACCCCTTCGCTATCGCCACGAAAACGGACTACAAGCCAGTCCAAGACAGAGCCTCCTCTGCTGAGGACTAGTAAAAGGACGATCTACACTGCAGGCAGACCACCTTGGTATAATGTCACTGGGACAACCTTCAAAGAAGCCTTTGTTATAGGTGAGAGAACATCTTATTTCATTTAAATTGTTTAAAATTATGCCAAGCATTCTCCTGGCATTCTGATGAGGAGGAAGTGAATGACAGAGTCTATCAATAATATAGCTCTCTGAGTTTTTCTAGATTAAAAATCTCAGGTGCTTTCGTCCGCTTCATGTAGCTAGTGCATTAAAATAAGCGTTATACCTGAGGACAGAATCATATTATTATTTTTGACCACCATGGTGCTGTTGTTGAATGTAGAGCCCCCGCCCCCCCCACCCACACCCACACACACACAAAAGAAAAAAACTGGTTTTAGTTGCCAAAAAAATTGTAACAGGCGCACTATCAATAAAACCACTGATGTCACTGGAATTTGGGAGAAGCTTTTGCAACAGTGTTGTACAGATGCAGTCAGCAGATTCTGGTCAGTCTTTGTTTTATTCCCAGAAAGATTTGCCCAACTCGTGTTAGGTAATGCTGTGTAAGTATTTGGTTATCAGACCCGCGATAATGTGGCATCTTTTCTTTTTGTACAGCCACTGAGGGAAATTTGGCTCAGCACTCGCTGCAGGTGGAAACGAGGCATATGTGAGATCTTGTTGGCATTGAAGTCTAAACACTGCTGTGCCAAAATACATCCTTAGTGAGCTGTTTGCATGGCTGCTGGTTCTTAGTCTTGTTACTTGATAAAACAATTATTTACCAAACTGACATTTCAGTTATCTTGGGCAGCAGCTTTGCATTTTCTCAGACTGAAATCTAACATTTTCATGAGGCTCTGGGTGCATTGTGTGTGCATTTACAGCAGGCTGCCATCTTGCTGATCAGCTCAGTAAAATATCAGCATCGGGACAAGTCCCAGCAGCAGTAAAATGAGCTTGACAGAGACACTAAACCTGTGTGTGCCTGTGCACGTTTAACAGCCGCAGAGCCAGCGTACCGTGGTTAAACGCATCAGACTGGCATGACTGGTGATAGGTGGAGGGAGAGGTGGACATTATCTTTAGTTGGCAATCTGTTACCGTCAATGGTGCGCAATGACTGGTTACAATTTCACACTCGACTGTACCGTGGCCCCCAATTTAAAGGAGCAGTCTGTGTAACATAAGGGGGACTGTGCTGATCTGGTCCCAAGAAACAATGGAGAATATAAAGTACTGGGGTTGCAGGAACAGATGGATTTAGGGATGGGAGCAAAAGTGAATGGCAGAAAAACATTGTAAAGCCTCATAGGTATCAAAGGTGGCTGCTGTCTCTACAGTTTGGGTTTATTGCTTATAGAAAAAGCAGTTTTATCTGTTTTAACAGGATTTTCCAGTGGCTAGGCTTTGCTGCTGGGTGACGTGCTGAGAATTTCTTGTCTATGCAGGAGCTTGTGATACTTTGGATTAGCTAGTATTTCTAGAACATCTTCAGAGCTGTAATCGGGAAATAAGCAGCCCCACAGTGTTCTTTAACCGGTTTCCTAGTCAGCAGTTTCGACCCCGATGAGTCTTATCAGGGAAAAAAAAAAAAAACCATTTCAACACGTCACCAAGAGTTGTTTATGTCGTTGAAGCAGCTCTGTAGGCTATTTCTGTTCCTGCGTGCACACACACACACACACATGCACCAACAAAGACACAACAGCAAATTCATCCTGCTTTTCACCCCCTCCTGCCAGCCAGCAGGGTGTTCTGGCCCCGTTCCCAGGATTGTTTTCCTGAAAGATTGCTGTTGTGGTCTTTAACCCAGGAGGTCGAGGGAGGTGAGGCAGGGATTGACTTTTATTTTAGACATCTGTCCCATTGGTTTCATGTTTTCTTTTTTGTCTCTCAGCTCAAAATATGTTTGCGCTCACAGATTTTTCTGCACTCTTAAGCATAAAGCGTGTTGCATGATTTTTGTTCATCGCCATCACGTTCAGTATTTTTTAACCTCACATCCAGATGATGGCTAAATGTGAAGCAGAAAGGACACGTTTTTTTTCTCCCTAAGCTTTATTTTCATTTTTAAATTGGAAAACAAACAAAAACAAACAAACAAAGCAAAAAACAAACAGAAATCTCACAACTATGGGACAGAGCAAGTATCAACAAATAACCACAACATGGTTGGCCTGCCATTGTGACCACAGAAGCACTCCCAGGTGCACACTCTTGTATCTATGCCTTTCAAGGATAACCTCAGACATCTGAAAACCAAACACAGAAAATACAAGCATCATAATAATAATAATAATAATAATAATAATAATAATAATAATAATAATAATAATAACAACAACATAACAACATTGATAATTACAGAATTTAAAAAAAAAACAAACAAACAAAAAAACCCAAAGAACTCAGGAGAAAAAGGGAGCAAAACAGAAAACACATCATGTGAACCCCTCCCACCATCCCCCCACCCCTTTACCCCTGTATGGCTCTCAACCTCATCACATTCATGTATCCAGACAGCCCATATTTACACCTATCTATAGAAAATCTCATGCACAGGAATCAACATCCCCCACGATAAAACTGCAGCATTCAGGAAATCGAGTCAGGAGGGCCTAACCGGGGATCAAATCAAGGCAGACCCAGGGGGATTTGCGTCATCTCTATGATCTATTAGGTCCAAAGACGGTAGTACTGCCAGGAAGGGCCCCCAAATTTTTTCAAAGGTTCCATATTTCCCTTTTACACCATGCAATATCTTCTCAGCTGTGCAGTAGGACTCATTAATCATTAATCTAGTGTCTCAATGTTGGAGAATTTTCAGATTTCCAATGTAGCAGAATACATTTTTTCACTGCAGTACTCGCAAGTAAAATAAAATATTTGTTATGGTAATTCACATTGATAGAACCTGTGTCACCTAGAATCCATAGTTTTGGGTCCAGTTCAATTTGGATCCCCATTACCCTTGAGATTATTTCAATGGCCTGTCTCCAGACCTCTTCACTGGGCAATTCCACAGCATATGCAGGAGATCACCATCTGTTACCTTACGTCTCAAACATTTGGGGGAATAATTATTATCAATTTTATGTAAGCTATAAGGGGTGTAATATATCCTATGAAATATATTAAATTGCTTTTGCCTGTGATTTGAAGAAATGAACATGGTCTGTGCCTGTTCCAATAAATGGTGCCATTCTACCTCTTCATAGACATAGCCCAGGTCTGTCTCCCATTTTCTTTTTATAGACGCTTTGTTATGGTCAGGTAACTTTTCATTGATAATAGCATATATAGAAGATGCTATTCCTTTTATTGACTTCCATGGTTTGGTGCAAAGATGCGTTTCAAGAGGAGTTTCTTTTGGTATCTCGGGGAATAACCCTTTGGATTTCTCTTTGACCCAATCTCTTATTTGTAGGAATTTGAAGAAACTTTGTCCTGGGAGTTTGAAATTTTCCTTTAGTTGTTGAAAGTCAATAAATGTATCATTATTGTATAAGTCGGCAACAGTTCGAATATTTTTGTCCTTCCATCCCTGCAATATTGGGTCAGCAATATGATGAGAGACATCAGGGTTGCCCCGTAGGGGTGTCCTCCTAAGAAAAGAGATATTTATTTTCAGAAGTGAGTGGGATTCCTGCCAGGCGCAGAAGGTGGTTAATATTATCAAATTGTTTGTGAGCTTGGATAGACATTTTTTTGTACCTAAAAATAGAACATCTTTTAATAGATCTCTGCATGTAGCCAGATCCAAATTGATCGATACTGGGAGGCAAGATAATAGTTCCTAAAGTTTGGTAAATTAAGTCCTCCCCTTGATTATGGGGCCTGTAGGGAGGAGAGTTTGACTCTTGGATTTTTCTTTTGCCATATGAAAGAAGTTATAAGTTTATTAAGCTCTTTGAAGAAACTTCTAGGAACATTTGTAGGGAGACATTGAAATAAGTAAATGAACTTAGGCAAAGTGTTCATTTTAATAACATTAATTCTCCCTATGAGAGATAATGGAAAATCCATCCATCTCTGAATGTTAAGTTTGGTTTGCTCCAACAGTTTGATATAATTTAGTTTGAACATTTGATCCTCGGATTAACCAATTTGTATACCCAAATACGTAAAGCCATTATTACGCCACTGTAATGGGTCAGTAAGAGCTCTAATTTTGATAATTGATTTTATGCTTTTATCTCACCACCTGTCGGCATCTGACAGCTGAATGTGTCAGTGATTAATGAAAAAACCAATCAGCTATTAAATAAATAGTGACAGCAGTTATTAAGGCAGCTGCAGTCAGGTTAATTCTTGATATTGAATACATTTTGATTTTGCATTTATGTTTTGGTGTCGTTTCACAGATAATTTGAATAGAACTGTATAATGTGGTCAGGGGACATTTGCTGATAGCAATCAGAGCAGTCAGAGAAAAGATAACACGTGTAACAGAAGTGTAACAGTTTTAATAATGGAGCATGTGGACATCTGTGTCAAACAAACTCATCAGTTCATTCAACATATGTTAGGCTTGAAAAGAGCTTGAGAATACCAACCGTACAGTTAAACTTATTGCATAAACACTTGTTGTCTCGTGGTTTTTTTCTGGGTCAGAATGCTGTGGTGACTACATATAAGAATGATTAGTCTTCATATAGTCGCTTAATAGAAATCTGCGCATTTTCCTGTGGTTTTCAGCTGTTTGATGAACAAAATAGTATTTTCTGCTTTTTTTTAAATGCAACAAAAATCTATCGGTCTGGCGATTTTTAACTTGAAAGCAGTGATAAATAGATGATTGGGATGATTGTCAGACATGATCACCTGGGTCATAAGCTGCACGGTGTGTCCAAAGTTGTAAAGAGAACGCTCTGTTTATGTGCCAGGAAAACAGAAAATGAATCGGAAACAGAAGCAGTGTACCAGTAAGGTCAGGAACATTGCAGTCTGTTGTCCCATAACAATTAAAAAAAAAAGTACTGGATTAGGATTATCTTTAGCTGACGTCGTAACATTTATCTCCAAACTTGGATGTTGGAACACAGGAGTGATGTCACTCCAGTGTTAGCGTTGTCCAGAAAAAGCACAGAAAACAGGATTTGTGTTGGTTCTTAGCAAGGTAGATCCATTCAGGTATCACTAACAATATACATAAATGTTTTTATACTCGTTTTGTTCTTAAAAACACCACCACAGCGCATTCATGGATAGAGCTCGGTCAGTGCTCGGAGTCCCAGCCAATCATTATGTCTGTAGTGGACCAAGAAAGTTAAACAGAAAAATGTTTTTCCTCGGTTCTCAGGAGGATGTGGCTTATTTAGTGAGTCACAAATACATAACAGTGGCAGTGCAGATTAAAAGTGTTACAGTTGTATTACTGTTTGTGTTCAGTGCCGCCAACTTGGATTGTGGGGCACACGGGGTTGCTGAGGCTTTCCAAGTGGGAAATCAAGCAAGTAATTTTAACTGTGAAATTCTGACTTCCTAATTATTCAGCACAGCGTTACTGTCAGTGGCCTTCAAGGATTGAAGGATATTTTAAAACACATCTTTCCATTAGTCAAACTGACCCAGTAGTGTCTGAGATAAGTCTCCCTAATTATGAATGACATGACTTTTTTGCCTTTTAGATAAAACTGCATAACTGTGACTGACATTCATATAATAGACTGAGGTGCTAATTTATTAGAGGGATGTCCTGCGTTTTTTATCAAGATGTTGAATAAAATGTTTCTGCATGAGTTTTCCTGGGTGCCTTTCATGCTGCAGTCATTGTTAATCCCAAGTATTTCATTTATTCCTTTTCATGCACCTCAGAGAAGTGGTGGAAGAAATTATGAGAAGTAAAATTATTATCAAAAGAATTGTGTTGGACTTTTGACTTAAAGAAAAGTATCCAGTGAAAGCTTTGCTGTCTGCTTCTAATATAACAGACTAACGTTTCTGCACTAGTCGAGCAGATTGTCGTTATCCATCAGTAATAGTGTTGTGATTCTCTCTCTCCATCGTTTTCAGGTCTGTGTGGAGGAAGTGCCTCTGGGAAAACTACAGTAGCCAATAAGATAATTGAGGCGCTGGATGTCCCCTGGGTGGTTCTGCTTTCAATGGACTCTTTCTACAAGGTACAAAAAGCAGCTGAAAGCACTGAAGTGTAAATAAGTACTGTGATTAATAGCATTTTAGCTCATTAGCAGCTTTAGTGCTGCAGTCAAGACAAACTATTATTTCACATACTGTATTTAAGCCACAATAAGTAATGAGCTTTTTGATTTGAAAAGAGTCTTGCTGAAAATATAAATTAGCCCTCTGTGACTGGATATCTGTCATCTCTCAGATTTTTTTTTGCAAGAAAACAGATGATGCAAACTGGCCGGTAAAATCCATCTCAGGCACCTGAAATACCTGAAACCAAAGGGCTCAGTTGGTTTGCAGTGTGTGAATTTTCTTTCTTCTTTATATCTCTTTGTCATTCAGGTGTTGAATAAAGAAGAGCAGGAGCTGGCAGCTAAAAATGAGTACAACTTCGATCACCCCGATGCCTTCGACTTTGAGCTGCTGGTCAACATCCTGAGAAAGCTGAAGAAGGGAAAAAGCATCAAAGTGCCAGTTTATGACTTCACCACTCACTCCAGACGCAAAGAATGGGTGAGACCCTCTGATTAACTTTAACACTGTGTTGGGTCGTGATTGAAAATTTCAGTTTCGTGATTGAAACTGAAACCTTCCCCCCATCGGAGCACCATTTTTACTGTCATTTGCATTTTTAACACAAACTTTCCTCCAGAGTTTTTACAGCTTTGGTTGGTTTACCTCTGTGTTTTAATTCGTCACATTGTGCTCTGTACTCTGGTTTAAAGTGGGGAGGGTTCAGTTGAGAATAATCTGCTTTTTGTTGTGAACACTTTGCAAATTTCAGTCAGTCACGTGATCAAATCCCATCCACAAAGTCCTCATGAAACAGATTAAGTGTAATTGATGATTACACTCGTAAAGCATAACAGAAGATGTTTTTCCCATAACTTTGCCTGGTTGGTCTTGGCTAGTCATCTGCAGACGTCTCCTATCCAAAGCCCCCAGGACTGCTTGTCTCAGGAACATTTTTCCCAGGAACTAAAAGGTCCTTCAGGCTGCTGTTTGTTTGTTTACACAAAGATTAGGGATGCTGTTCTACTGATGAAGGATCAGCTGTTTTGACATGCAGGACTGTATAAATGTTGAACCTGATATCTCAGCTACCTGTGAGACAGACAGTGAGTATTCACATTCACTGCTTTGTTCTCAGCACCACTTCCTCTCTTCACTCACAGTCTTTGACATTAGATCTCTGAGATATTTGAATGCTAATCAATAAAATCAAATAAAAAAAATAAAAAAAATCTCCTTGAACTTAATCTTCAAAGTCCAAAAGCCCGCCCACCATATAGATCAATTTCTGACTTAGTTTTGAGCTCTTTTCATTTTTGCGCTGCTGTTCTTGGTCTTGTTTCTGCTGTGCTTTTTTTTTTTTTTAAAGTGGTTCTTAATGTTGTTGTTCCCTCTCAGTTTTTAGGATGCCCACTGCCAGCAGGCAATGTCCAGTTTAATGTTTTCCCCCCCACTGTCTCTTATTGGCTTTTTAGGTGCAAAGGTTTTCATGGCAATCACAATAAAAGGCGCTGCTGTTTTCAGCTTCTCTTCCTCCCAGTGTGGGTTTACTATCTGGGTGGGGACATCGTGTATTTGCAGCCTGTGTGTGTCATAGACATCCTCACTCAGCCTTTTAAAAAACAGTTTAGGCTGAATATGTTATATTTGATATTTGCAAATGTGCTCCTAAATATATTCGACAGTGACTATTTTTCCAGAGGTCTCAGATGCAAGTGAACTTCTATTGAATTCTGAACCTTTCTGTTGTTTTTCCATAAAAAAACCCTCCTGTGCTTCCTTTAATGTGAAAACACGATGTTGACAGGAAGAAAAAAAAAACTTCATTTGTGACTTTCATGTGATTGGTGCAAACTCTGACCAGAACAGAGTCATCAGTTATGCCTAAGCATGAGACACCAGCGAGGTTTCTACAGTGGGAAGACATAGAAACACTTGGTCTGCTCCCATAAACCACCTACTAGTCCCTGCCTTACTCCACATAGAGGAGTAGTTTTCAGTGGCGTTGTTGCTTTAAACTAACTTGTGAGCTATTTCAGCTACTGAAGCTGATGACTTGATAAAAATGTGTATTATTAGAATATTCCCAAATGTGTCAAAGTCGTGAGAAGAGAAGCAGTTTTCCACCCACTTGAGTTCGGTTAGTTTAGTGTAGTCTGTCTTCATTGAAATAAAAGCACTGAACACTTGAGAGGAGAAAAATGAACATTACAGCTACAAATCACCTAACACCTCCGGGGATGCTTCAGTTATTTAAGCTGGTGAAAATTCAGATGCTTGCTAATTTGCTAATTATTAAGGATTTTAGGGTACAGTACATTAAGCCCAGCATCTCCTCCCAGAAGCATTGTGAAGAATCAATCAGGCGGCTTAGCTCACTGTCTATTTCTCTGCGATGTAATTTCATGGCTGAAAGCCACAACACCACACGGGAAATCGCCTCAGATCTGAGATCATTTTATGGGCCTTTTGTAACGGGGAGGATGTAATTAAGACTCAGGCCTCAAGGGTGCCGAGGGCCATCAAGCTGCAGGCTGTGTTTATAAAGCAGTAATACAGATGGACAAGAGCGAGCAACTTAGTTTTTCTTCTTTGGTAAAACTTTAGGTCACATTCCCTCTCTCTCTCTCTTTCTTTCTTTCAAGCACTGGCACTTAAGTATTTTAAAGAGCCACTAAATCATCTCTTAGTAAAGAAGGAGGAAATGAATAAATCAATAAACACTCATCTGTTTGTTTAAAGTTCACTTTCTCTCAAACTGTGCACACTGCCTCTGCCTCTCTCGCCGCTCTTTCTCAAAATCAATAGCAAAGTGTTCAGCCTATTGACTTCAGCATGAAGCTGGTCGTGGAAAGGTAATAGGATTGTGACATACTCTGCACCATTTTGTCTGCGATTGAATCGGTTATTAACCTCTTTCTCAAACGCCTGGTAGTAAAACTGGTTCTGGGTGAGTTTCATCAGATAAGTTAGTAAAGCAAACATGGGTTGAGGTTGTGTTTGTGCGTCAGTGGCTGTATGTCATGCACACACATGCAAGTGACAGTGTTTAACTGACATCTGTAAAAGTCTGAAGGCAAATAAAAATCATCTGTAAATGTGTTTTATGCTTTCATCTTATATACAGTAGATTTGTGTTATCTTGGGCAGTGTCTTTTATCTCATTTATTGCACCTTACCAAGGATATTGTGTTTCCTTTAATTTAAAAAGAAAAAATAACTGCTTAAGTCTCATAGTTTTCTTTGGTTTACGTTGAGTTAATGCAGGAATCATGTTTATCTGAAAGCAAAGGGTTTCATGTCTGAGAGCAGGAGACCAGATTTGCATATGTCACAGATTTCAGCAGTGTGCTGTCCAGGCTTGTGCATCTGGCAAGTCATAGTTTCACAAAGAAAACACAGACAACCCACAAGTTTAAACTTATTGTTCCCAGTTCTGTATGTGACCAGGACAATTTGACAGAATCAAGTAGATGCAGGCTTTTTTTTAAAAAGTTTTTTTAAGTCACAGTCTAAGATGTGGCCAGATGTTTGGGTTTTTGTGATATCACAAATAGTTTGGAGGACAATTTTGCAACTTACAGTGGTGCTGCTTTTGTTTTTGAACTTGGATTAAACCAGAACTCATGTGCCTTGAAATGTAAAATATCGAATAGATTCTTCTTATATTTCTTTTTATTTTATTGTTTGTACCCTGACTCTCACCCGCTGACTCTGAATTGGATAACCAAAACAAAAAGTAAAGGTGGATTATTTCAATTTGTGTGGAAGAAGACTATTTTACAGACATCTCTAATTCTCTTCGATCCATAGTTAACAGCTTAAATTTAACTGTATAAACAAAACATTCGATTTATTTTTGTGTTTCAAAGTAAAAGGACATTAAATGACCAGCATGAAGAATGAATACTTTAAAAATATATTTGGGTAAAAAAAAAAGGAAACAACTTCTTTCTGACCTTCAAGTGTATTTTTTCTTAATTAAAACGCATCCGTATTGTATCATAAATGTTTAATTTCACACTCGTTGTAGCTCATTAATTGTGAATAATTTTCATATCCTCACTTATGACACTGAAATTATTTTTAGTTAATGAACCACTTAGTTCAAGGTGTCCACACAGTGCGGGGTTGGAGGATTTTGACCCCTATCCCTTTGTAACTAATAACCTAAGAAACATTGTGTTCACCAGTACAATCAACATGAACACACTGCAAGTGCAGCTTCAAGTGGGGGAAAAAATGTGAACCTGTCCTTAAATTTGTCCTTTCTTACAGAAAACTGTGTATGGTGCTAATGTTGTCATCTTTGAGGGAATCCTAGCCTTCGCCAACAAGGAGCTGCTCAAGGTAAGAATATCAGTATCCCCTCCACTCTGTTTTACTTTTCTTTTACATTTTTCTTCCTTAGAATATTTCGAATGTGCGTGTCTGAGGCACCAACAGCCACATACCACATCACTTAAATCACCTGTGATGCTTGGATTGAACTTCAGCTCGTTGTTGATGCTAAAATGAGTTGTTGAGATGTGATTGGCTGGTTAGTGTTAACAAGAAGTTGAGTGTATGTTCATATTTATGTCATAATAATAATAATGGTTATAAATTTTATTTATAAAGCACCTTTCAAGACACCCAAGGACACTTTACAATAGGATAAAACACATAATGGAAAAATGACAAAATGAAAAACAATAAAACAAAAGCACAAGATAAAATTAACAAACAGTGGGTTCACAGTGAATATGCAGATTTGAACAGATGGGTTTTGAGTTGAGATTTAAACTATGGGAAAGGACCAGTGTTCCTTATATCTGGGGGTCGAGCGTTCCACAGCCTGGGAGCAGAGCAGCTAAAAGCTCTGCTTCCCATGGTGGTGAGGCAGAAGGAAGGCACAGCAAGCTGGATAGAAGAATATTGAAGTGAGCGGGCAGAAAAGGTGGTGCTTAACAAGTCAGAAAGGTAAGGAGGTGCGAGGTTATGAATGGCCTTGAAGGTGAGCAGAAGAAGTTTTTATATTATCCAGAATTTCACAGGGAGCCAGTGAAGTTCCTGAAGAACAGGGGTGATGTGCTGGTAGGAGGGTGTGTGTATATTTATCTGGACTATAAAAATAAGATGTGATGCAGAAATTGACTCAAATTAAGCTTTATTTGAAAAGTTTGCTTTTTAGGCTCCTAAAGCTGATATTTACATCCATTTTTATGGATGTGTAGAGAAGACTAGTGCTAGGAGGCTAAGGAGACATTGCCATCATTGCAATGCTCTTGAGGGTCAGAGGGAATAAACACTTATAAAAAGAGGCATTCTTCATTGCTAATCAGTCCTGCAGTCACTCTCTCCAGCCTCTTCTATTGTGTATGAGTGAGTGTGAGAGAGCAGGAGAGCTGGACTGTGATGATAAGACAGGCAGCCTCTCCTGAGACCCGGCTGTGTAGCTGATTACCATCTGATTAAGTTAATAACAGTCAGCGTCTCTTGTGATCAATGGTGTTTTTTGTCCATTCTTGTAATTGAATTCAATTACAGCTGCAGATCCGATATGCTAATAAAGAGGTTTCCTTTAAGAAACCAAGATGTTTGCAAAGGACATGGTTAATAATAGGATTTGGTGCTTCTCTCACGCTATCAAACCATTGTGGCCAGTGTTGCAGATCATTATGGAAGACTGCTTCATAGTAGGAGGAATTTTCAGTTATTGTGATGAAGCAGCTTGTTTTTCAGATAATTTATTCATTGGATTTTCTAAAGATGTCATGTTTTTGTCTGTATGTTGTTGATCTGAATTTGAATCATGATTGATATATGTATTTTCTAAATGTCAGTAGCTGTTTTTGCAGATTAAATTTGCATATGTTTTATAATAGATCTTTTCCATCTCGCTTCCCCCGTTCATTTATTTAGGCTTAATAAAACACTACCAGCACAGAAAAATATTATTTGATTCACTACATCAGTGAAGGGTTCATTCAAATGATTTTCTTGGATAATACACACGTGCCTTCCATATTATTTTATATTTTATTTAAAATCAAGTTGAATTAACTTGGAGTCCTTATCTTTCTATACTGTCAAACACAAACAGTGGCTGCAGTAATGCATTTGTCACATGAGACAAAATAAATCTTAAAGAATTTTATTTTCAAACAATTACTAAAACAAGCCAATCAAAATAAAACTTCAGTTGTGCCAAATTCTGCTCTGTAGCTGTTCTTGTTTTGGTTTTTGGCTCAAGGTTTCGTCTTACAATACATAATACACAAAGTGGGTGCACGTGGTACCATTAAGACCATCTTATGTGAGGATGGACATCAAATGGTCTTTAAAATGACATCTGACCTGTCTGTGCTAAAAACAAAAGAAGTAGTTCCTGAAGTCAAAGCAGTGCTGGCACAAACCATCTGCATAGAACAGCGTTGGACAGCGAGCCAGTGGTGTTTTTTCTTTGGTTTTTCATTTTTAGGCATATTTCCAGTAGAAAAATGTGCAGTTTTAATTAAAAACAATTTGTTTGAGATTATTTTTTGTTTGGATTGAACAATAATAAGTGTAGAGTAAAAGATTTTGTGTATTGTTCCTGATACAGATATAGCTTTTCATTTTGCAGTTGTATACATGCCCAGTCCTGAACCCACCAGCAATAATGTTTGTATGATATGTTGTGTAATCCTGCACTTGTACTTAAACCAAAAAAATCAACAAATTTCCACCTTTTCTTTACTATATCATAAATGTCATCAACGAATCCACAAATTTCCCTGGTGTTCATTGCTCATTGCACATTCAAGGCTTGTAGCTGCATCAAAGGAAAACTTTCCAATTTTCCAGCCTCATCACTTTGGCAAAAGAAAACTGGGAGCTTTCCTAGGTTAGGAAATGATCTAGAGCCACAGCCTTGCTGTCTAACCTTTGGGACCAGGCCACTCTTCATTCACCTGCTCCAAGCTGACAGCACTGCTTATCCAGCAACCTGCCACCTTTTTGGTTGGTCAGTCTGTCAGATTTACAGCAGCCTGAACTGCCAGCCAGTGGCTTTTTGTGCAACTGAGTTATAACTGCGCTCCCGCTGCCGTCCTCCTCTAAATCACACACAGACTTCTTTTAATTTCAAAAGTCATCAATAGTTCTTTGTGTTGCCTCCTTGTTGTCCCACCTTTGTTGTGATGCTGCCCCATTGATTTTTGTCGTCTGTCTTTGCTGAATTGAGGTTCAGTTTAGTGGAGCTTAGTTGGTGGATCGGGGCTGACTTTCTCTTTGAAGCTGCAATGATAACTGGTGTTTCCTCAGATTCTTCAGCATGTCCCGACCCCAGCGTCAAGCTTCCGATGTAAAAATGTCAAATCATTGAAGCAGCTCAAAGTGCCTTTTCACGGACACTGACTTTATTGAGACTGAAAAATGAAGTCTGTGCAATTTGTGCTCTTTACTTCCTCTTCTTCTTTAATACATTTATCCTTCTTGTGCAAGATAAAAAATACTATTAATAATATTTTTCACTGAGAGTCGTGTTATGTTATTTTAGTCGCATATAAGGATAAAAAATGGAAATGGGACATTTAATGTCCCACTTTAAATTCTGACTATATCAAGATCAAGTGTTTACTGCAGAGAGCTGGGAATATAAAACACTCCCTAACTGATGGGTAGTGACATTTGTTAGAAGCGTTCAGGCTTTTAAAAAAATAAATATGCAGCTCTCAGGAGTTGTTTCTGTCATTTTTACTCATGCTCAGACAGTAATCTAAGGCTATCAGTAAAATAATGAATAAAACATCTTTCATTCATCGTCTTCAGAAATTCTATGAACGGAAACTTTGTTTTGGCCTACAGAGAACTCTTCAAACATAAATGACTGCAGTGTCCTGCACTACAGCCACTAGTTTATCACCAGAGTTTCTAATTAAAAGCACATACACACACCAGAGCTACATTACCGGGGCAACTGTGGATCAGGAGGTCATTGATGATGAGGAAGGTTTGTGGTATGATTCTTAGCTCCTCCAGTCTATATGTCAAAGTTTCTTGACATACAGTCAAGATATACAGATATAGAGTCAAGTTGCAACATATTTCACCTTAGAGAAGTGACCTCAGTGGATCCAACAGTACTCTGCATAAGTAAAGTATGTGTAGCGCAAAAAGAGATGCCTTTGAATGGGATTCAGCCTGTTCACACAAACTCCAAAGTTTTATGTACTCAGCCCGACTAACCATTATTTACAGGGAAATGGCCACAATAACAGAATCCTAGGGGCGGACATATGTTAACAGATGCTATTAGAGGATATAAATATGTCCGCTGCCAGCAATTTAAAAAAAGTACTGGACCATTGATGGAGCGTCTTGTTAATGTATGTGGGTGTGTGATGCTGTTATCGATACTTTTGCAAATCAAGGAGAACTGCAGCTTAAATGGGGCACAGGTGCTTAAACTTTAAGGATACCCAAAAACTTTGCAGGAAAAGCCTGCTACTAGTATTGATATAAAACCTGAACTGGTGGTGCCTTTATGGGGCCAGCACCTTAAATGTATTGACCCCATAAAGAGTTACAAAAATATCCTAATGTCAATAATGATAGTCATTGTGTGTAATATGTATATACTAGGGGTGCAACGATACACAAAATTCACGGTTCGGTTCGGTTCGATACTTTGGTGTCAC